GTGGAGCGCTGATAGACAAAAAGCAAGCAGGGCCTTGCAGGCTGAAAGCAGAGCCTGACAGGTCAGTGGGTTGAGCCTGGCAGTGTCCAGCTGGCCAGGAAATGGATTCCACCACAATGTTGGACCATAAGGAAGACTGAGTGCCAAAGAATTGAGGCCTTTGAATTGTGGTGCTTGAGGAGACTCCTGCAAGTCCCTTGGACCGCAAGGCGATCAGACCTGTCAGTCCTAGAGGAGATCAACCCTGACTGCTCTTCAGAAGGCCAGATACTGAAGATGAAACTCAAATACTTTGGCCTCCTAATGAGATGGAAGGACTCACTGGAGAAGACCCTAATGCTGGGAACAATTGGCGGCAAAGAAGAAGGGGACAGCAGAGAATAAAGTGGCTAGATGGAGTCACTGAAGCAGTTGGCGTGAGCTTAAGTGGACTCCGGGGGATGGTGGAGGACAGGAAGGCCTGGAGGAATGTTGTCCATGGGGTCGTGATGGGTCGGACACAACTTCGCAACTAACAACAACAACAATTGCTCTGGCTATGATACACAGTTATTGCCTCTGTTAACAACCCCCCTGCTACCAAGCGGCCCATCATGCATGGTATTAGATCACCATACAGATCAATACAATCCAGGTGACAACTGCACACAGTCAGAAGAAGGACATGCCCAAATGCAGAGCTTAAGACAACAGGGCAAGGTGCTCGGAAGGCACACAAGAAGAACACAGAATCAGGTAGGCAGGAGATTTCGTTAAGCAAATTTTCCACCACTAGGTCCAGGGGGTGTACGATAATACATTAAACTAATATTAAAGATGGGAAGTTGGCCCAATTCCCAATGACGACAACACAACATCTTCTTTCTCTCTGACCATCAAATGGTAGGGACAAACAGCAGCAGAATGCTGTTTTCATGCCCTGGTTTTGGTTTTGTTTGATTCATCTTTGCTTTCGTTTTGCTTCTCAATGTTGGCAACAGAAGGCTGAACTAAATGAAGACCAGTGATTTGTCAAAGGCCTAAAAATGAATACAAAGAATCTGAGTCCCATAACACCAAACCAATCACTTTAGACCCCACATTTACTGATATGACACAACAATTTACAAAAGGCAACCCAGTTAATTTCCCACACAGATCCCAGTGCAAATCAGACCACTTCAACTGATTCCACCCACACAGTCGTAATTTCAGATTTAGATATGGTTCTCAAACCTGTGCCTTTTCAGCGAATTCACACTCTTTCTCTCATCATATTTACTTACTGTCGGGATCCGCTTCAGTTAATTCAACTTTCTCTCCTGTCTCCCAAAAAAGAAAGAAAGAAGCAATCCTTTGCCTTGACCTAGTCCAGCAATCCCATAAACACCCTTCTCCCATCTGTATTAATACAAATTCCACTCAGAGGTGGAGAGCATGAATGGGCACCCCAGTCCCACCCCTGTCTGCCATCAATGCCCCCCCCCCCCCCCGCCACAGCACAGAGCATTTTCTATCCAGGCAGGCTTCCATAACGTTTACACACTCATGTGCAGATGCTCTGCGCAGCAGGCAGATTGACAAGCAGGGTAAGTATACTGGGAACTATGAGAACTAGTGTATGTTGGACTGGGACTCAGGATATTCAGGTTCTAGTCCCTATTCTGCCATGAGGCTCATTGGGAAACGGGCCAGTTACTGACTCTCAGCCTAGCCTATCTCACAGGATTCTGTTTGTAATCTGTCTTGGATTCCTGGCAAGAGCTGGAAATAAATGTATTTTAAAAGCTGGATATAAATGTATTGATAGCTAAATAAATAATAAATGACACTGGTGCTGGCTAATCAACATCTAGCACAGCCAGTTTTCCACCCAATAAACTGGAAACTGGCAGAACCATTTTCTTTCTCCCCATGGTTTACTCCAAGCTATTATATTGAACATGTCCTTTCAGAGCAGCAAATGCACTTTCCAACCAGGTCTGCCATGCTTCAGGAGATACATCTGTTTTTACCCGAACATTACTTATAAAGGAAAATAACGTGGATTAATTGATTTTAAAAAGATGGTATCAGATTGATGGCATCAGCATGATGAGAGTTTAATGCAAATAAAATAAAGCAAGCAGCACACTTCTGCATCTTTCACAAACCTTCATTTCCAGTCTTTCTTGAGTTTTCAGCACACTTCTTTGTAATAAAGCCTTTAAAAATATGCCTGATGATCCTCTTTTCACTTTCATGACTGCTCAGCATAGCTACCAAACCCACTTATATATTTGTGAGGCAACAAAACCACAATAAATTATGCTATTTTCCCAAAGAGGGAAATCTCCAGTCGCATTTTAAATGACATGTCTAAATAAAGGATTTAATTTAGAACGTATGAGAGAGTTATTATATGTTAATTAAATACTCACTGATTGCTATGAATATCTGTTGAAGGGTAATGACAGTTTGTATGAAGACAAATATCACACAATTAAATCTCAGTAAATATATTCTCAATAATAATTTAACACACACTAACAGCCTGATCCACAATCCAGCTAAATTGAAGTACTGAGTTTTAAATCAATTTAGTCCTGTTGTTCTCAATAGGAATAAATCAACTTGAGTCTAAATATGTTAGTTTAACTGGGTCAAAGGCTGAGCTTTTTATTATGTGACTCAGTGTGTTTCTTTACTCTGGCTTGCACAATTTGTGACCCACCAGCCTACTGACCGTGTAGTATGCCTGGATTCATCTCCCTGGGCAAACAGCCGAAGGAAGTAGTTTAGGGATTGCTTTGTGGCCCACCATAAGTGATTAACTGTCTCGATTCAACTGGGAAGTTTACCAGTTGTGTAGATCTGCTTAAGCTAATTGGGCTTTGTTCTCTTTCGGGTATGTTGCAGCTCAGGTATGTTACAGAGGAGAGTTCCCAGGTTAAAACCTGGCGACTTCTCTTGCACTCTTAAATTCACCAGTAAGAGGAGAAGCTTTTTCTGACCAGTTTCCAGCTATCACCACCCATGCTTTCAGGGTAGTGTGAGTGTGTGCTGGAGACCAAACAGGGAAGTGGATGTGTGACAGGCCCGGGTGAGAGAGATTTCAGTTCCATTCTGGGTAAACTTTTCCCAATCCAGACCTCCCAGAACCAGACACAAACATGAATGCAATCAGCAGTCAATATCTGTACATTTCCAAGTTTGTGATGCAGCTCAAGTGACAAATGAAATGTATCCCCAAAATGCACACATTTGAAAAACACACTTAAAAATGCATGCTTTCCTCAAAAAAAAGAAAATACATATCTTTCAGATATGTGTACAACTGGTGCATACATTTGGAGAAATGTACAAGAAAATATATGTGGAATGACAAGTAAAAATTAAAAAACCTAAATCTGAATTCAGATGCACACATGATTCCGAATATACTTCTTGGTGGAAAGCAGAAAATATCAGCAAGCTTGACTTTGGCTGACTCATTTTTATGACCATATTTCTCCTTCAATCCCCGCCCCCTTGTGGGGGGGAGGTTAAACGAAGAGAGAAACTTCCACTGATAATAGATTAAATACAAAATTAATTTTCAACGACACACTATGTAATTACTGTAACAAGCAGTTTGTCTGTGTACAAAGTATGGCAATATACTGTGTTGCTAAGAGGACCTCACAATGTACAATCCCTCCTGCCACATATACTCTGCAGTTTATGGTGACCACCATTTGTGCCAGCGCATTAGTGAAACCATTAACAATTGCACCCAAGGGTAAACAGAATCCTTCTTTACCCATTTAAAAAAAAACGTATGGAAGCTACTTTTCTCACAACTCACTGCAAATACTTTCATCAACTTAACGCAGTCACATGATCATTTTTTGCTAGTTTCCTGAAATGCAAGAAAATCCAGTGAAACAAATGCTCCAGCCTTTTTGGACATCTGCATTGAAGTTTAGAGTGCTTTTTGCCTGATCCTTTCGGCTTGTGTGCATCACAAGTCTCAATCTCAAAAATAATGTGGCAGAAGCACCTTTTGGGCCTTCTTCATGCATAGAATGCAAAGGGAAGTAAGAAAGGCAGTTGCTCACCTGTAACTGCCGTTCTTCGAGTGGCCATCTGTGCATTCACACAGTATGGGTGCTGCACCTGCGCTGTGCCTGTAGCCAGCAGAATTCAAAAGCTTTAACGGATTTTGGCGGGAACTCTGCACCCTCCCCCACCATAGTATAAATCGTCAGAGTGTTCACCCTCTCCCCAGTCAGCTGAAGACCATCCCACGTAAGTCCAGAATGGGGCGTAGACCCCCGTCTCTCTTAGGTACCGTAAAGTACATGGAGTAGAAACTGTGCAGTCCTTCGGAGCAATTAAGTTTATGAATTGCTCCCTTACGAAGCAGCTCGGTGACTTCTTCCAGGAGGGCTGGAGAGGCTGCTGTATACAGGATTGGACCTGAAGGTGGCACAGTTTCAAACTCGATTTTATATCCCTGCTTTACGATGGAAAGAACCCACCTATCAGATGTGATGGACTCCCAGATGGGAAGTCAGCTTTGTAGACGGTCCCCAAAAAGAGAGGGGAAGGGGGGTTAAGGAATTGAGGAAAGGTTTGTGTGTCCCATCATCATTGGTGCTTGTCGGCATCCAGTTGGCACCTAGGTTGCTGGTAACGAGGCATGTTCTGGCTTCAGCTTCGGGATTGTCTTTGGCCGAACTGTTGACGTTCCATGGGGTATGGTTGGTAATAAGGCTGGTACTGGGATCTGTTCCATGGCCACTTATGTCTTAGCTGAGATGGATATTCATGCGACATACAGTCAATTGAGCTTTTTGAATGTGTTCAAGTTTGTCGTCAGTTTTGGCATTTAACAAGCCAGAGCCGTCAAATGGCATGTTCTTCACTCTTTGTTTGGTCTCTTGCAGTGGATTATCCGCTCTCAGCCAGGCACGACGACGGAGGGCAACGGCACCGACGAGAGCCCTAGAGTTGCAATTGGCATGGTGTCTCGCTGTGTCCAGTGGTTGTTTCGAAAGCTACAATGCCTCCCTGATGATAAGTGGGCCAGTTCTCTTTGCTGGTCCAGGAGGAATGGAGTGAGGGACTCGATCTTCTGCCATAAAAAAATATTGATAACGGGCCATTGTGGCCTCATAATTGGAGATATGAAGACTGAGTCCCATTCCGGCATAGATCCAGCGAGACATCATGTAAATCTTGCAACTCTCCTTATCAGCAAGAGTAGAGTGTTCTTTAGTTTCTCTTCCCTGTGAGGTCTCGATGACGATTGAGTTTGGCTGAGGATGTTTTAGAAGGAACGGGATGTCATGAACCTTGTACATTGTCTCTAGATGACTCGAGGTGGTATGTGGGTGGTTCAGAAGCTGCCAAATGTTGATCATCGCCTGCCAAAGGGTGGTGATAAATAGCAAGGCGATGGCTGATGAGTCTTCTTTACAAACATCGTAAATATTGTCCTGATTAGCACTGATGCGCTGTTGGATGTCGATCTCCAGTGATTTGGTCATCCGTGTGAGTAGCTCAGAGAGACGACCTTGGGAGTCGCCCAGAGACCCAGGACTTTGGGTAGAGATAATGGTGTCAGGAGAGGTAGAGATTTGTTGGGAGTTCCCCGAATCCGAGTCGGGTTCATATGGTGAACTACATGAGGACCTGTAGGGAGATGGTGGACAGATGAGTGCCGCAGCAGATGTTGATGGGGCATTCCTTGACACCGATTAACAGGTGGAATGATGTGGACATATTGGTGGTGGTGGGTAATATCTGCATGGGGGTAGTAATCCCACGGATAAGGTCGCTCCATATACTTGGGGTCAAATTCTCCATAGGGTAATGGAACCCAGTACCACAATGGTTGCAGTACAGAAGGCTGGGGTGGTAAGAGGGACAACAGACGCTGAGCAGGCGTGGGAGTTGGCGATCACACAGGAAGACAATCTGGTCCCGACTGGGGAGGAGATTCATGGATCTCTCCATCAGAAATCGAAGCTCGAGCCAAGGGATCGGATTGGTCAGGACTGGAGTGTGTTGAGGTGGCAATCCATGGGGGTGACATTGGAGGTGTCACCTGCAGAACCGACTGGCAGCTCTATGATTCAGTCGGCACTGAGATAGGCACAGCACTTGATTCAGAGCAAGGCACTTTGTCACACTTCCTGTGCCAATGCTCAGATTTCTCAGGTTTGTCCTTCTTAGGACATTTCGGTTTCGAGGGTACCTCAGACACAACATGCTTCTCCTTATGTTTATGAGGAGGAGAATGGGAGGAACACTTTCCGTCCGTGTCATCAGAATCCCCTTCGGATGGATGAGAGGGGATGCTTTAAGAAGGTCCTGGAGCTGCAGAAAAGCCGGTCTCTGCCTAAACCTGCTTCATGGTGACCAGAGCTTGGTCTCATAGAATTTTACGCAGCCGGTTCTTGCAGTTTTTGTGAGCCTGACTTGTGAATGACTGACAATGGCTGTACTTATCAGTCCTGTGCCCTTCTCCAAGGCAGAGAAGACACAGAGTGTGAGGGTCAGTGGGAGACATTTTGGCTCCACACTGCGTGCACTTATGGAAAACCACCCGCTGTGCCATCGAGAAGAAGAAAAGAGAGGAGATACAGCGAATGGATATAGATTACAAGAAGTAAGGACAATAGAAGGGTTTTTTTTTAATTTTTTATTTGGAAAGGGAATGTGGGGAGAAGGGAAAGAACAGGGAATAAAGGAGGGGTTTGGTAAGGGCAAACAACGGGTTTAGGATTTAGACAGAGGTAGGTAGAGAAGTGAAGAAAAAAGGATTTAAGATTTATAGAATTAACGATTGTACAAAAGATGAGGAGACAAGTGAAGAAAAGGCCCGAGGCACAGCGAATGGCAGTCTGGGGAGAGGGCGGGTACTCCGACCATTTATACCACTGGGGGGAGGGTGCGGAAAACTGTTAAAACTCTTAAATCTTTCCGGCAACAGGCACCGTGCAGGTGCAGCACCCATAATGTGTGATGCACAGAGACCACGATGAAGAAATTGCAACTGCGTTCTGGGTCCTGATGTTTGTGCATTGAGCCAAAGATCTGCCAAGGAGAGCCTTCAGCTGTATGTGTGTAGATGTTCCACGAAATGGGCCTGATGCGCAAAGGTCGGGGTAGAGCCAGCAGAAAGTCATTCTCAAGCCATGTTCACTAAATAGAGTTTAAAGGGTATAGAAACCCATATGGTAGAAATTGCCAGCCCATAATTTCAAAGATACACATCTACACTCACACTTCCTTTCCCTAGATCTTCACCTTCTGTTCTGAACTCCAGTGTTTTTCGATGCTTAAACGTTCATGCTCTGCTCTAGTTAGGTCTGTATTTCTCTGACGGTTTGAAATTTGGTCCACACTTCCTAAACTTTCTTCTTCCCTCCTTGTCTTTCCAGCACATCCATCTGTTCCATAGGTCAGGCGAAGAGAATTGAACCTGCAATTTCTGTATGAATAAAATGAGCTTAAGATGATGAGCCAAGGGAGGAAAAGTCTGTGTCTATTACACACACAAGCCTGAAATCCAGATCTAGATTGGCAATGATCAGCCTATTATTGTTAGTTACCTTGAACACAATTTTGAGGTGGAAATGTGGAGTATATTCAAACAAATATCTTACCCCATATTTTTCTACTCTCTTCTCCTGTCCTGCGCCCACAGTTTGAGCTTGGTGGCTAGCAATACATCCACAGACTGAATCAGGGTTTCCTATATGTACCTACCTGGATAAGAGACACCTGATTTAGCTACTGGGACTGTAGACCTATTACCCTTTCAGGAGACCAGTAGTGGTGCTATTTTGCTGTTTAGCAAAGAGTGGAATGTTGAGAAAATTAAGGACACAACCTTAAGCATGCTGAGACAGAAAAAAGTCCTACAAATTCCAGCATTCCCCAGCCAGCCAAGCTGCCTGAGGAGAGCTCAGAATTGTACGATGTTTTTCTGTCTAAACTTACATAGGACTGCACCTTAAATCTACAGCCAAACAGCTAATTATCACTCTGTGATCTTCTGAAAGGGTTATGACAGTGCCAATCAGCTGACTGACAGGGGAAGTCAAGGACTGCAGTTAATCTTCACCAGGGTTTATTCTAAGTTTTTTTTGTTTGTTTGTTTTTTTGTTTTTAACAGCACCAGAAGCCAAGGCAGGACTCATCTCCAATGTGTGAGCATCTCCCAAATATCTCTAATGGAATAATAAAGACATGAAATGTGAAAAAAGGAAGAGTAAATGAGAGTGAACTGAAAAGCTGAGAGAAAGAGAAAGAAGGAAAGGAGGAAGAGGGTAAGAAAATGGAAATAACAGAAGGGGAAATAAGGGTGCCATGCAAGGAGTGGGTGAAATTATCTTCCCTTCCTAAAGAGTGCTTGAGGACTGAGACTGCCTCCTAACAAAAGGTATAACTGAGAGGCTGAGAATCCTTTCCTCTCATTATAATTCTGGTGACTGGAATTTATCTTTTCACAAAATTGGCTGTTGTCCTGCAAAATACATTGAAGGGGCTGTATACTAAACTAGGGAAAATAGGTTGGAAAGCTATCACCAAATAGCAGCTTCTCACAAAATGACATCTCAAAAACTGCATAGCTACCCTTAAACTGCAAATCTTTTGTACAAGCTGGGAAGCAATTGGTGCAACAGGAATATCAGGGCTGCTTTTAAATCAAAGTGCTCTAATTTTCATGTTATATGGTAAATTGTTTGGGGACGGATCCACCAGGAATTGGTGGAGAACTGCTAGAAGCCAGGTATTTTACTATTAAGGGTTGAAGCTGAGTTAGGGGAAGAGGATACCCTCTGAAAGAGGAACATCAATGACACATACTACTGCTGCATAACAAGAATCTTGTGTCTTATGCACAAACATGCTCATTTCTATCTATCTATTTATATTGTTAAACAAATGGCCTTAATTGTGTCTGAGTATCTTGCACTTGTCTTCCAAGCACAATCTATAAGGCCTTCCAGTCTGCTGGGCTAAGGTCAGGCCTTGTATCAGTCTAGGAGTCTCTCTGAGAGGTGCAGACTCCTGAAGAGCCAGTATTAAGTTGAATGTTCTGGAAATTCTGTCATGCAACTTGAGTGTTCTTCAAGGATTCTACTGTGTCTTGAAACAGCGAAGGACTATTACTGATAAGCAGGAACAACAGGACTCCAAAGGACCCTGGGAATTGGTGTATGGCCCAGCAGAAATGCATGTGCTATGCTGTAACCACTGTTTTAACGGAGGGAAGATAGAAAAGTAGGAAGACAATGAGGAACGTACACAATAATCTGGATGCAGAATTGGCCTCTTCTGTGTTGAGCTGTTTGCTGAGAAGGAAGAAGCCGGTTCAAGGGCTACTGAGGGCCATAGCTTTTGGAGAAAACAGCTGGGGCATAGGTTGCTTTGCCCAGTCTTCACTAAACCACTTTGCAGTATTAAAACTAAAGTTTAAAAGTTTATAGTTAAAATACCAGGAAAATAAAAAGATTTTCACTTGGCACTGAAGAGAATACAGAGTGGGGGCCACACACACCTCTTTGAGAAGTTCATTCCATAGCTGGGCTGGCACAACCGAAAACTACTACATCTAAGCCAACCATCTGTGGTGGAGTGTCAGGTCATAAGGGTGTTAAGAAACCAACGTCCAAATTGATCAAGCAGAATAAATGCTATCAAAATACCAACACTATGTTAGTAGCAGAGAATGTTTCAAGGTTCCCTTCAGAGTCAAATTGTTTCCAAAGAGCACTCAAATGCCCCCATTGCAAAAGAAGATGGGAATGCTTGCAGGAATGAGCCAATTCAGAAGCATCTGGGACAATCCTATCACAGAGAAAGCATGAAAACATTCCAACTGTCAGCCTTGACACCTGTGGAGACCACACAGGTTTTCTCTATGAGAAAAGTAATATCCAAGGCCAATTAAAGCAAGCAGACAAAATTGGCTGGCTCCTCCTCACACATATGGAAATGCAAAGAAGATGACTGAGTGTGGACTCATTTCCTGCAAGAGTCAGCTTTGCTCTTTTTTTCTTTTTCCTATTAACAGCTCAATACTGGCTGATACAACTGAGCACCAGTTCTCAGTACTTCCGTTTAAATGCCCAGAAAGAATGTATTCAGTGCATTGCGGAAAGGAACTGAGACAGTCTCCCCCAAAAGTTGACTGATGATGCACTGCACTGTTCCTGAGGTGTGATGGCACTGTGGACTGAATCAGAACTGGCAAAATTTGTGAAACAGTGAAAGTAATTACAAAATCTGGGGATGAAAAGTGGCACTTTCTAGGTGTTGGCAAACCCTGCAACTGCAGTGAAAAAGACTGCTGAAGATGCATATACCAAGATCTGCAGAAATTAGGCACATTTTCATGCATCTGTCAACATAAGTAAGAGGTCTGGTTTGTGGAGCTTCTTGCAGCTAAGTATGAAAGATAAGGATTGAGTACCTAATGATCCTGTCCTGAATTTCTAACATGGAGTCCACCAGTCAGACCATGCATGGAGATTGATAAATCACTTAGTTGGTGAAGTTGGACACAAGTTTTAGCAGCTTGCAGCACTGAACAGCTATTTCAACACATCAGCGCTGAGATCCAAAGACATTTTAGAAACTATCAATTGCTGATTCTAACAGATGCTTAGATACAAGAA